TCATTGGGCAAGCAAGGGAGAGATTTGCTGTGTCATTCTGAGCTCCCTCACTGTATGGAGCTGAATCTCTCTTTATACTGGTCTCTAAGCTCAGCAGAAAGACAGCAGGGTTTCAAAGAAGACACCTGGTTTGTTTGTTTATCAAGAACTATGTCCTCCGGACATTCTGGTTCTACTGAGCACTTTGACTGCTTCAGGTTCCTTCCTGCCAAAGGTCACAGTTAAATGTGCGATATAACATCTCACCAGCCCACCATCTCCATAGCAGGCATAGAGACAGCCTGATCAACACGAGTTCCCCTGCTTTTGTCGGACACATAGCTTCCTAACAAAACACTATGGAACCGGTCCTGCAAAAGAAGGTTCTCCTGTGGTCTCAGCACAAGAACATTGGAGATTACTGTGGTACCTGCTGTAAACACCCAGGCCCTGTGCTGCAGAACAACCCAATTAAAACAGCCAGGATAAGCTCAGGCATCTTATTTAAACATTGACATGATGGTGTCTATTGACAGTGGAGTGGCTGCTGCTCCATTCAACATGCTTGCCTGGGTTTATGCCCCCTCCCCATGCCACCAGACACATGGAAACCTTTTCAGTTCGTACCCAGGACACTGCTATAGGCTCCTAGGTCAGAGGAGGAATGCTTAATGCTGTTCCAAAAATCTCTGACACTACAGCTCACTGGCTGACAATGGGGCAGGCTGCATCATTAGTTAGAAGAGAGGCGTTATGATTCATAAAGGGTAGCAATTCATTTTTGGGGACTACTGTTATTCTAGATCACCACTGGACCCTGTTCATGGTCATGTCAGACAGGAAGTGCCAAACTCTTGCAACCAAGTAGGAGGGAAAGTAGGAGTCCTGGATATGCTGGGGGAAAAAAAAAAAAAAAAAGGTTGATGAAGCCACTGCAGCATGTGGACATTGAGTTGTTTTGTGAAGTGGTGTACACTTGCTGAGCTGGAGAGTGACAAAACTGGACAAGAACAGCACCTAGTGCTGCAAACCTGATGAAACCAGGGACAGCCACCAAAAAATAAAAAGCAACAAAAAAAAAAAACAAAAAAACAAAAAAACGAAAAAGAGAGCATTGTCTCACTGTTGCCAACATAACCAGTTGCCTTTTTCACAAAAAAAAGTTAATCAACAAGTATGTATTTCCTTTTGAATCTTAAAAAGACATTTTTAAGATTAAGGAAATTAGGAAGCCCAGCACCTCATGCCCTCTTACTCAAAGCACAAGCATTTCACTCTACTGGAAGAGC